TGGGCTCAACCTCTGCCTTCTGCAGTTACTGCTGAGAACTAAGATGGATCAGATACGTGCACCATCTGCCAGAGGGCATGGGGCGCCACACACTCGGTATGCTCATCGACTGATTGGTAACTTGAAGTTGTTTCCAGTAGCTAGGAGGCACCTGTCCTCAGAGCCTGCCTGCCTCGTTTGTCCCTGTGGGCCCAGCCTTGGCTCAGGAACATGTATTACCTTAAGTTGAAGTGGCTGTGAAGGGGAGCAAAATATGCCTCTTTGTTTTATTATTTTAAGCTGGTTATTTTGGAGAACCTGCAGACGCAGGAGAAGCTCTGAAAACAGAAGTCACCCTTTTGTGAGAGACATTTACATTTACAGGGGAAATCTTTTGTAAGGGTGTCTCCCTCCTTGTGCCAGGGAGAGGGGTTACCGAAATCTCTAGAAACTCTTGTCAGTGGAGGAGACATGGACTGAAGTCCGCACAGCAACTTGACCCCGGTTATTGGGCTGCCCTGGTTGCCCCCCCATTAACGGACTCCTCACCCCAACATCTGCTTTTGTCTTTAGCCCTAGAGTGTGTTGAAGGTGGTGGATTCCCCATATGGGGAGTTAGGAGTTTTCCTGGGTCTCTCCCATGTGTACTGGAGGCATGCATGTATGTTACTAAATTTTTGTTTGTTTTTCTCCAGTTAATCTGTCTTATATCAGTTTAATTATTAGACCAGCAAGAGAACCTGGCTGGGGAGAAAGCGCTTTCCCACCCCTGCCCCAAGAACAGGTTGACTTAGCTGAACCGTCTCTGGTCCACACCCCCTCCACCCGCCACCCCGCACCCTCCACGCAGACCGTGCGCCCAGCCTCCCCCCTCCGCAGCTGGCCCCCCCACCCCCACCTCCCTGAAAAGCATCCTTTCCATTAAGGTCTCTATTTCCTAAGTCTGGATTTGTCTGATGCTGGGCAGCACAAAGGCCCAGTTCTGGGGTTCCAGGTATGCGGGGGCCTTGGTGGGGATGTTACAGTAGGTAGAGAGCCAGACGTGAGCAGGGAGGGGGTTGGGCACTTAGGCCGGTGTTAACATTGGGTTTGATGCTTGTTTATATTCTCAACATTCCCTGTAGACTGTTCTCAGGGGGTGTAGGGGTGGAGGGTATAGATACCAGACCTGCCAGAACTGGCTGGTTCCAGCAGGGAGGAGTAGCTGACCCTGGCTTCACCTCCAAATGCATTACGCGCTCACTAGCACACTGAAAGTCACACCCCTTGGCACCATCACATTCCCGAGGCAGATCATCTAAGGGCAAAAAGAGGGTGTCACCCTATTTCCTGGAAATCCCCTCCCTGTTCCAAGAAAACCCACCTATCCTGATGACTATTCCACCCCTGCTTAACCTCTAGCTCTAAGACCACCCACTGTGGTGTCCAGCTATAAGACCCCACTGTGCTGTCACCTCCGGCATGGCCCTCTTGAGTGTGTCCTGTCTTATTTAACTTCTGCTTGGGCCTGCTAAACTTGATGGTGAATTCTTTCTTCCTCAGAACCAAGAACCCTCTCCCGGGCTGAGGTCTCAGCACATAGGGAGATCCCTTCGGATTGGATTTCCCGACAGCAGCAGGGACTTGGGAGTTGGGCAGCATGGGGTTTGGGTCCTGATGCCACCACTGGTTCTGTCCAGCCATGTGACCTTTGCATTTGCTGTTCCTGCCACCTCCCGTGCCCTTCCCTCATCCTTCTGGCCTCACTGCTTCTTGTGATTCAGCTCTCAGTGCAGATACCAGGCCGAGGCCTTCCCTCCAAGCCTATCAGCGCTCACAGCCGGGACTTTCCCTGGCATCTTCTGTGTGTTTTACTTTCTTGGGTGAGGTCTTCTGTCAACTAGAAGGTTGGCTCCAGGGCTGTGGTGACTGTCTTGCTCCCGCATGTCCCTGGTGCCTAGCATAGTGCCCAAGTGTGCAGCCCATGTCTGTGACTAAAAAGTGGATGCTAGCCTGTGATTGTGAGCCCATTCCCCTTATAAAATGGGAGGTTCAAGGAGGTAACATTTGCAAGTTACTTGACACCTAGGCCTGTAATAAATTTTGCTCACCATCCTTTTTCCACTATATATTTCCATTTCTCCTAACTTTTAGAGAAGTTTCAAATTAACCTCAAAAGGATTAAATGAAGGTAAGATTATGACAAAGATTCTTTGCTTGACCAAACTTTAGTCAGCCTCCTGGACCTTCTTCCAGGCCCATCTATGCCTATCCTGGTAAAATCCAGTTTTGGCAAGAACCCTGCTAGGTCAGTTTAAACAGAACCCCCACCCACCCCTCTGGACGTCTTGTCAGGCTTCTAATCCTCCACCTGCCAGGGGAGGTCTGACCATGCTGGCCTGCTGTCAGCAAGAACCCTGTTTGGTGGATTTAGCCAGACCCCCCTTTACTCCTGAGGTTTTCTCCCAGTGATGTTCCATCTGCTACCTTAACCACCCTGTTCCTAGGCTGTAAATCCCCACCTGTGCTCCCAAGGGAGACTGTTCTCCCCTGCCAATTGTGGAATCCCACTGCAGTGGTTCCTATACCCAAGGCGGCCTTAGTGTCTTGAACAGTGTCACTGAATTCATCTTCTGCAATCACGGTAAAGCGACGCAAACTCTTGCGTCAGGGAGGAAAAAATTTCCCCTGCCTCCTTATGTATGCTTTTTGGCCTGCGTATTAAACTGACAACAGGGGCAAGAGAAAGGAGGGATGTAGGAGTTCACAGAAAAATGGGACTTGCCGAGCTGAATTTGGAGCTTACATAACATCTGACTAAGGGAAGGAGGAGAGGACACTTAAGAGAAACAGGACTTTTAGGAAAGAAAAAGGAACCCTTAGAATACATAGGAGACAGGATGGCTGTAAGTATTGTCAGCTTCTTATCTGGGTGTGGGCCTTCTCCAGGGAAAAGAGCCGCCTTCCGGACAGCCTCCCCTCTGGGGAGGGGATTTGTAACAGTGGAATTCTTTGGGTAGGCTCTGCTTTTAGGCAGATAAGGGGAGTTGAGAAAATCAAGGAAACAACAGCAAAACTTATTCTGGATCCCTTCACCTGCCTTTTTTAAATTTAATTCTGCTGTGAATCAAGGAAATCACCTCTACTTCCTGCCTCCAGAGTGAGGGGAAGTTGAAATTGCTCAGATCCGCCCTAGTCTGGAGAAAAGCAGGCTCTGGCCTCCGGTCCTGGGCAAGCCCCAGTACCCCTCCCCGCCCTGCCAACTTCCCCTGAATGTGTGTGTCCTGTCTGCCCACAAGGGCATTAGTTTGCACATCACCTTCAAAAGCTCGGTTCTCCCCCCGGGTGCGTAATTTCCGATCAAGGAATCGCTTCTGTCCTGGAGTAAAACAGCAGCTCAATGTGGAGTTTAATGACTTCAGATTCTGGGGCGGGGAAGAAGAATTGTACTTATTTGGCCAACCACACTATAGACCCACAGGGAACGAGCAAACAGACAATAGCTGCAGCCTGAGGCCCGCTCACCCGGCCCGGCCGTCAGGCAGAGGCTGGTGCTCCACTGTCTCTCTGCTCCTTTGACCTGGTTTCTGAGGCCAGATCTTTTCTCCGCCTTACAGAAAGTGGGAGAGAGGTGCAGGGACAGAATCCTACAGCTAGCAAGTGCTAGGATTTGAACATGGGCAGGGCCTGACCCTCACAATGATGTGATGTGAGGAGTCGTCTCATTCATCTTTTTTTAAGCTAACAAAATGCAAAATTATCAGAAGTATTTTAAATACAATTGTCTGTGATATATTTCCATTCCCTGTTATCATGTACATTTATTGAAGACATGGAAGTGAGAGAGAGCAGGAAAATGGGACAAGGGTCATGCCACTGTGAAGTCTGCTTAGCCCGCAAAAAAAGCCCAATTTATTCTTTAACTTACTCTATATGCTGTTCCTCTTCTCCATTTCCTTAATTAAGTAACTTTGTAACCAGGACAAGACCTCCAAAGTGTAAATGAACCTATATGGATAAAGAATGTCAAGATCTAGATCAATACAGTCCCCTAAATAACCCTATTCTTAAGACAAAACTTCAAAGGAATTATGAATCACCTGTATACATTATACCTTATGTTGACCCCTACCCAGTGAAAGGGCAAGCTCCCAGATCCTATTTCAACCCATTGGGGCTCGGGCTCTCCCACACCAGTCAGCAAGATGCCCGCCAATTCCCCAGCCAGTCCACCAGAGCCACGACCATCACCCCACCGACTACCCCTAGACCCAGCCAATCAGCCAAGACCGTGCCCCTCGCCCCACCAACTGCCCTTAGAGTCCCATAAAACCTTTGTGTTTTTGAAACTCACGCTCGCTCTCTCTCCGGCATCTCGCCGCTGTGTCGGTAGCAGATGGGAGATTGAGCTCGAACTTGCTGGAATAAAGGCTCTTTGCTTTTGCATCGGTGTTGGCTCCTCAGTGGTCTTCTAGGATTCGCGACTTTGGACATAACATTTGGGGGCTGGTCCAGGATCCCAGAGGCCCTGTAAGACCCAACGGCCTTATTCTGGTCTGCGCTTCCCCCCCAGTGAGGAGACAAAGGCCACGGCAGATCGATGCAACAAGCAAGAGGTTTAATATTATTCCAGCTAGCTGGGGTCCAAGTGTCTGCCCGGCACAGCGGGTTTCAACAAGGACCCCGAGCACTCAAAGCCAAGGGTTTATATAGCATTTTCAGAACACTTAACTCATAGTAATTTTCCACAAGCTGCACATCATTTTTCCTAGTCATACATCCTGGGGTTAAGCGAGAGCAAGATAAGACCACCCCTCAATTGTCAGGGAGGTTCTGCACAATAAGCTTGGTATGTAAGATTAGGTGACCAAGGCTAGCTGACCAAGGTTCACAGCTGCCCACCACCCGGTGTTCATGATTAGCTTGTTTTTCAAGGCCTTACCCAGTTCCAGTTTTTCTTTCTAAGTCACACACACTCCGAAAATGGCTTCTAGGCCCTTAAGATGGCTACTCTTATGCTAACCTATTTCTATTCTTAACAGCCCACAGGACCCCCAACCCGGAGGGCCCAGTGCCTGCTGGTGAGTGCACTCAGGTATCTGTCTGTGTTTGTGTCTCACTGTTTTTGTTCTCGAACAAGCCTGTATAAGCCTGTAGGAGCTCCAATCTGTATCAGAGTCAGCATTGACTTGGGCAGACGCGCTGGCAGGTCACCGACTGGGGGTCTTGGGAGACGTCCCTTGCCCCCGTCTGGAGGACAAAGTCCTCATCTGTGAGGAAAGTCAGCTGCCACTGCAGTCTGACAGGCCCTCAACTTACTTTCGGCTTTGCCTCCGTGGCCGCGGCAGATTCTTCTCTGTAGGCGCCTGTTTGTTAGTTGTTGTGTTTATCTTAGTCTTGTTGACAGAAGAAATGGGACAGATGCAGATGACCTCCTTGTCTCTCATGACAGACCATTTTTCAGACATTAAGGAGAGAGAGCTCACAATTTGAGCACGGACGTCAAAAAGGGAAAATTTCGTGTTTTCTGCACCTCCGAGTGAGTGTCCTTTAATGTTGGCTGGCCAGGGGAGGGAACTTTTGACCTAACCACTCTTTTACAGGTTAAAGATGTTATCTTCAGGAAAGGAGCCCAGGGCCATCCAGGCCAAATTCCCTACTTCTCAGTCTGGCAGGACCTGATTGAGAATTCTCCCTCATGGCTTAAACCTTTCCTTTCATCTAGGACAGGTTCCACGCCCAAAGTCTTGGCCCTACAAGATCCGGTCCCAAAGTCTCAGAGACTCAGAACTTAAAGAAACCAAACCCTCCCTTTACCCAGTCCTGCAGGACACCATCTCAGAGGAGTTCATCTTTCCACCACCCTATCAGCCCCTCCCAACAGCCCCGCTGGCAGAGCCAGTAGAACCTGATGGAGAAGAACCAGTTCCAGAAGAACCAGTTCCTGTTCCTGAAGGAGGAATGCCCACGCGCGGACCCTGTGGCGGGGACATGGGGCGAGTCAATCGGCAGCCCTCAGCCAAGGACCTGCTGACCCAATTGTCCTCCCCCTGCATACCACAGGGCCCCCTGATGAAACAGGACAGCCAATGCACTATTGGCCATTGTCCACTAGTGACCTCTATAACTGGAGAACTCAGAATGCTGTTTTCAGAAAACCCCAGAGATCTTCTTAACCTTTTAGACACTGTTCTTTTTACCCATCAGCCCACGTGGGATGATTGCCAACAGCTCTTACAGGTTCTTTTTACCACTGAGGAGAGAGAAAGGGGCCAGGTGGAAGCCCAGAAGTTGGTTCTGGGTGACAGCAGATAGCCCACCCAGAACCCAGATCTCATAAATGCTGCTTTTCCTCTCTCTCATCCAAACTGGGACTACAATTCAGCAGAAGGTAAGGAGAGACTCCGGGTCTATCGCCAGACTCTGTTGGCAGGTCTCAGGGCAACTGCACGAAAGCCCACTAATTTGGCTAAGGTATATAATGTTCAACAAGGGAGGGATGAAAGCCCAGCGGCATTTCTAGAGAGAATCATGGAGGCTTTTAGACAGTACACCCCCATGGATCCTGAAGCTCCAGAGAACACAGCCGCTATAGTTATGGCTTTCGTCAACCAAGCTGCTCCAGACGTAAAGAGAAAATTACAGAGAGTAGAGAGATTAGGAGAAAGGAGCTTGCAGGACCTGGTAGTTGTGGCAGAAAGAGTTTTTAATAATCGAGAGAGCCCGGAGGAACAACAGACAAGAATAAACAACCGCCAGACTCGAAACTTGGCTAAAATACTGCTGGCTACGACTGCAGAGAGCCCTCAGGAGTGACAGAGACACCTTAAGAAACTGGCCACTGGACAAGGTAAGGAAGACCCCACCCAAGGGAACTGCCCTAAATTAAATAAGAACCAGTGTGCATATTGCAAAGAGGAAGGCCACTGGATCAAGGACTGTCCTAACAAGAGACCCAAAAAGACCCCCATTGCTATCCTGGGTACCGAAAGCATTGATGACTAGGGGCGACTGTGTTTGGCACTCCTCCGCAAGCCCAGGGTAACTCTAAAAGTGGAGGGGCAACCTATAGAATTCCTTGTGGACACCGGAGCTCAACACTCCATCCTATTACAACCCCAAGGAAAATTGGCAGATAAAACCTCATGAGTACAGGGAGCTATGGGGGTGAAATAATATTCATGGACTACCTGAAGAATGGTGGACCTCAGCGTGGGCCGGGTATCCCACTCGTTCATGGTCATCCCAGAATGCCCCTACCCCTTATTAGGCTGAGATTTGCTCACCAAGGTAGGGGCACAAATGAGCTTCCACCCCAAACGGACAAAAATTCTAAACAAAGAAGGATATCCAATACAGATGCTCACTATAAGCCTCGAGGATGAGTACCACCTGTACCAGGTACTCTTATCACCAATGCATGACTTAAAATATTGGCTATAGACATTTCCCCAAGCCTGGGCTGAGACAAGGGGAGTGGGATTAGCTCAACATAGGCCAGAAATATTTATAGAACTGAAATCAGGTGCAGATCCAGTCAGGGTCTGGCAATACCCGATGCCACTTGAGGCAAAAGCTGGAATCACTCCACACATTAGAAGATGACTCAAGTTAGGCATACTGAGACCTTGCCAGTCAGCGTGGAATACCCCCCTATTACCAGTCTGAAAACCAAATCGACTGACTACCGACCAGTCTAAGATTTGCGTGAGGTAAAGAAGCAGGTGACAGATGTACACCCAACGGTCCCAAATCCGTACACCCTCCTCAGCTCATTGCCTCCTACCTGAACCTGGTATACAGTCCTAGATTTAAAGGATGCCTTTTTCAGCTTGCCCCTGACACCTAAGAGCCAAAACATCTTTGCCTTCGAGTGGACGGACCTGAAAAAGGAATTAGCGGCCAGCCTACCTGGACCAGGCTCCCCAAGGATTCAAGAACTCACCCACCATCTTCAATGAGGCCCTACATGAAGATCTAAGTGAGTTCTGATCTAAACACCCAGAATTAACTCTTTTAAGTACATATATGATATCCTGGTAGCCACTGAAGACCAGGAGATATGCCTGTGAGGCACCAAGGACATGCTTTCTACACTAGGAGCCTTGGGTTACCAAGCCTCAGCCAGAAAGGCCCAAATCTGCAAGACAGAGGTAAGCTATTTAGGCTATAAATTAAAAGGGGGACAGAGATGGCTCACAGAAGCAAGAAAAGAGACTGTCTTAAGAATACCGCGCCCACAAAATGTCTGCCAAATGCATGAATTCCTGGGATCCGCAGGATACTGCCGATTGTGGATCCCAGGTTTTGCGGAAATAGCTAGATCCCTTTATGAAGCCACCAAAGAAAAACAGGAGTTTACATGAACAGAGACCATGGAGAACTCATTCACTAGTCTTAAGCAGGCCTTACTCTCTGCACCTGCACTGGGGCTCCCTGATTTAACCAGACCTTTCTACCTGTATGTAGATGAAAGTAAGGGAGTGGTGACAGGGGTGCTAATACAGTACATTGGCCCATGGAAAAGGCCCATAGCTTATTTCTCCAAGCCGCTAGACACTGTTGCCACTGGATGGCCCCCCTGTCTGTGAATCATCACTGCAGTAGCTACCATGGTCAAAAATGCAGACAAACTAACACTAGAACAAGAATTAAATGTCACCACCCCACACGCAATCGAAGGGGTGCTCAAACAGCCACCAGACAGGTGGATAAGTAATGCCCAACTAACGCATTACCAAGGACTGCTCTTAAATCCTGCCAGAATTCTGTTCCACACACCCGTGTCGGTGAACTCAGCCACCCTCCTCCCCAACCCAGACTGGGAGGCACCATTCCATGACTGTGGGGAGGTCCTGGCTCATGTTCACAGAGTCAGAACTGACCTGTGAGATCAGCCACTGGCAGAAGCAGATGCCACCTGGTACACCGATGGAAGCAACTTCATGCAAGACAGAGTAAGATATGCAGGGTTGAGACAGAAACTGTCTGGGCTGAGCCACTGGCTCCAGGAACTTCAGCCCAGCGGGCAGAGCTGATCATGCTGACCAGAGCATTGACTATGGCCAAAGACAAACGCCTTAATGTCTATATGGACAGTAGGTATGCATTTGCCACTGCCCACATACATGGAGCCATCTATAGAGAGGGGAAGCTATTGACTGCCGAAGGAAAAGCCATCAAAAATAAAGAAGAAATTCTTGACCCCCTACCCGCCCTTTAGCTACCCAAAGCACTGGCAATAATTCGTTGCCCAGGCCACCAAAAGTCTGACACCTGGGTTGCCAAAGGAAATAAATTGGCTGACCAATGTGCCAAACAGGCAGCCCTTTCTGTGGACCATGCCCTAGTGACCACATTGCCAGACCCAGGGGCCCCCAGTCTGCCAGACACCCCCTCCTACACTGATGAAGACAAAATGGATCAAGCAGCTGCCCATGACCAACTACCTAGATGAGTGATGGAGAGCCACCGACTGCATCATTCTACCGGAAGAGTTAGGATGATGCATCCTAACCAAAATGCATTGGGCTACACACATGGGGATGAGAAAAATGGAAGACTTGGTGTGACATGCTTGCATCACTATCAAGGACTCTCAATCAAAAATTGGACAGATCATAGCAAGCTGCAAGGCTTGCCAACTGACAAATGCAGCCGCCTATGCGCCCAACCCTGGTGCCAGACTCTGAGGACAGTAGGTATGCATTTGCCACTGCCCACGTAGACAGGCCAGGCGTCTATTGGGAAGTGGATTTCACATAGGTAAAGCCCGGAAAATATGGGTACAGGTATTTGCTAGTGTTTGTAGACACTTTTTCATGTTGGATCGAGGCATTTCCCACCAAGCATGAGACAGCGCAGACCATGGCCAAGAAACTGTTAGAAGACATCCTGCCAAGGCACAGTTTTCCTGCCAGGATAAGCTCAGACAGTGGACCAGGATTTGCTTCCAAGGTAACACAGGGAGTAGCACAGGTTCTTGGGGCAGATTGGAAATTACATTGTGCGTATAGGCCCCTAAGTTCAGGACAGGTAGAAAGAATGAACAGAACTTTAAAAGAGACCTTGACTAAATTAGCCCTAGAGACTGGCGGAGACTGGGTGACTCTCCTCCTCTTTGCCCTTTATTGGGTGCATAACTCCCCGTATAAGATGGGACTTCCTCCCTTTGACATCATGTATGGCATTCCTCCACCTATTATTCCCACTCTCAAACCCAAAGTACTTGCTGAACTTGATGATCACCAATTCCTTTTTTCCCTCCAAATGTTGCAACGAACCCATGAGCAGGTCTGGCCTAAGCTGAAAGCTCTTTATGAGACCGGACCCCCTCCAGAACCGCACCGCTATCGTCCAGGTGACTGGGTGTACGTCCGGAGACACCAACACCAGACACTTCAACCACGCTGGAAGGGACCCTACATCGTGATCCTGACCACTCCCACCGCTCTCAAGGTCAACGGAATTACTCCCTGGGTCCACTGCACCCACATCTGACCAGCTGACCCACACGCCGTTCTCAAGAACTTTGTTCCAAAATGGAAAAGTCAGCTGGACAAAGACAATCCTCTAAAGCTAAGACTGCGCCGTTCTCACCTATCCCACTAATGTTACTTATACTATGCCTTCCTCATATCAAAACCAGCAACCCTAACCCCTATACCCCCTATCAACTCACATGGGAGGTGATGAACTGGGAAACGCATGAAGTATATAACAGCACTTCCCAAGAAGCCCCATTAAACACGTGGTTCCCTGACTTGTACTTTAACCTAGACAAGGTGGCAGACATTGAAAGAATGGAAGGGGGAAACTGGCGTAAAGTACAGCGCCGGGTCTCTGTGAGTCGAAATGGGTTTTATGCGTGCCCTGGGTTTCGAAAAGGATCAGAGAGACTTCAGTGCGGAGGAGTTGAGTCCCTTTACTGTGCACAGTGGAGTTGTGTTACCACCAATGATGGAGAGTGGAAGTGGCGAGTGACTCCCCAGCTCATCACTCTCTCATTTATTAGGCCATGCACCCGAACTTGGTACAATTATAACTGTAATCTAATCAGGCTCCAGTTCACAGAGAAGGGAAAAAGAGATAAGCGATGGCTGTCAGGGTTAACTTGGGGCCTATATCTCTATCAGAGACCTAGTTTTGGAACTGTTATCCAGATCAAATTAAAAGCTGAGCCAATAGTTAAGGCGGCCATAGGTCCAAATAAGGTATTAACAGAAGAGAGCCCTAAGGAACCCAAAATCATAGCACCTCCACCGTCCACTGGGATACCCAGGCCAGGGCTGGTAAATACATATACACCCCCACATCCTAAAAACGAAGGCCCTTTATGAGAACTACTTCTTGCTTCATATCAGACTTTAAATGCTACCAACCCAAATGTTACCAACGCCTGCTGGCTCTGTTACGATATGAAACCCCCTTTTTATGAGGCAGTAGACTTCAATGGGACCTATACAGTAACAGAATCCAAAGAAAAATGTAAATGGGGATCTGGTCAGAAAGGCCTCACTCTACAGTCAGTGGAAGGCACCGGCCCTTGCATAGGGAAAGTGCCTTCTACCCAACAAAGGCTTTGCAATCAGCAGACAGATAAAAGTTCAACCAATTCTTCTTCCTGGTATGTTCCCCCTGAAAACGGATGGTGAGTCTACTCTGAGTCCGGGTTGACCCCATGTGTAAATAGTGCTGTCTCTGATTTAGCTAAAGAATATTGTGTCTTATGTCTCTCCCAGGATTTTGTACCATCCTGAAGAAGAAGTATATACCTACTTAAAAAAAGATTGTCAGGTGCAAATAGGCACAGGAAAAAGCGAGGACCTCTCACTGCCATAACTATTGCTACCTTATTTGGACCAGGGGTAGCCGGACTAGGGGTAGCCGGACTAGGAACCAGAACTGCTTCCCTGGTCGCCAATAACCGACACCTTGCAAGCCTAAGGGCTGCTGTAGATGAAGATATAGAAAGAATAGAAGCCTCCATCACCAGTCTAGAGAAATCTCTAGTCTCACTATCTGAAGTGGTCTTACAGAATAAAAGAGGGTTAGACTTACTGTTCCTACAGCAGGGGGGTCTCTGTGCAGCCTTAAAAGAAGAATGTTGCTTTTATGTTAATCACAGCGGGGTAGTCAGAGAAAATATGGCCAAAGTCAGAGAAGGTCTGACAAAGAGAACAAAAGAGCAGCAACAAAGCTGGTTCATATCCTGGTTCAATAGCTCACCCTGGCTAACTACCCTAATCTCCACCCTGCTAGGACCCTTAGTAAGTGCTAATGATAATTTTGACCTTTGGACCATGTATCCTCAATAGACTGATGACTTTTGTCAAAGATAGAATTAATACAGTCCAGCTAATGGTACTAAGACAACAGTATCAGCCTTTATCCACTCACAACTGGGAAATCTCATTAGACCCATGATTGAATCCCTTCTTAGGATCCAGAGAAAAAGGAGGAATGAAAGGGCAAGCTCCCAGATCCTATTTCAGCCAGTTGGGGCCCAGATCCTATTTCAGCCAATCAGGGCTCGGGCTCTCCCCACACCAGTCAGCAAGATGCCCGCCAACTCCCCAGCCAATCCGCCAGAGCCACGACCATCAATCACCCCACCGACTACCCCTAGACCCAGCCAATCAGCCAAGACTGCACTCCTCACCCCACCAACGCCCTTAGAGCCCCATAAAACCTTCCTGTTTTTGAAACACCCTCTATCTCTGGCATCTCGCCACCGCTGCTGTGTCGGTAGCAGATGGGAGACTGAGCTGGAACCGGCTGGAATAAAGGCTCTTTGCTTTTGCATCAGTGTTGGCTCCTCGGTGGTCTTCTGGGATTCATGACTTTGGGCATAACACCCAAAAGGCCCTATAACATTAAGCACACCTCCTCAGGCTGCCCACACTCCCCTTTCTTCAAGTGTGTGCTGTGCCTCAAGGACTGCCCACCGCTCTACTTACTGCATTTTGTCTCTGAACTCCTCCAGTGGTAAGCATCTTTGTTACTTCGCTATTTCATTCAATTTTCTAGGCTTTAGCATAAGTCTTCACCCTCTCTGTCCTATATCAGACAAGTAGGGAAGGGCCACTGAGATCTCTGATTTAGGCTTGCAAGGACCCACTGCCTGGGTGACCTGGACAGGACTGCAGCTGTACCATCATGCTCTTTAGTAGCCTGCCTGAAAATCTCCTTTCTTTGCCTTTGGGAAGTTCTCCAACATAGTCTTACTTGTAGTGCGCCGCAGCTTCTCCGAATCCTGAGGGGGTAGTGGCTTAGTTCCCACACTGTGCAGATTCAAGTGGACGCCCGGTGGCCCTGGCTCCAGGAGTTGGCAAGGGATTTGCCCTGCCCCAAGCAGGAGTTCAGTGAGCTGCCCTTTCTTCCCTCTGCCCTTCCTTGCTCTTTGCTGCCTGCGCAATGCTGCCATTCGCCGCTTCTCTCGCTTTAATGAATTCCTTCCTTACCTACACCTGTCCGACCTGGTTGAGAATTCTTTCTTGATCAGAGTCAAGAATCCTCCCCTGTCGGGGTTGAGGTTTCACCTGGTGTGCAGGGAAAGACCTCCCCAGATGCAGCTGCCTGACAACAGAAGGAGAGAGAGGGAGGTTGAGGGGGCCCAAGGGAGCAGAAAGAGAAGAGCGCTCTGTAGGCAGGCCAGAGGGCCACCCCACACCTGCTGTGGACAGGTTGAGGGCCTGGGATGGTCCCGAGTGATGACAGGGTCTGTCCTCGACTGTCTTGCTACCAGCACCAGCAACAGGCTTATTTTCCAGGGGCCCTACAGGGTTTTCACAGGCCAGCAGTTAAGTTGGTTTTTACGCTTCACCTTGGAGGATGCCAGCTCCGTCAGCAGCACCGGGAAGTCCCTTGGGCCAAGAGCCTTGGCCGATGGATTTCATTCCACAATCTCTGAACACAACAACGTGAGGTTGGCATTTCCGTCATTGTGTTCAGCCCCCTCCCCGCCACGCTCTTCCACATGCACACACGTTTCCCCCACTTAAGCAGCTTCCCTCCAGCTCGCTGCACACGTGTGTAGTGGGGGCAACATAAATGTTTTCACTAAAATCTCCTGGTGACAGGCAACCCCACTGAGCTCTTTCAGCACTGTCATCCACCCGCTGTGCTTCGGAGATAAATGGTCGTCACAGCCCGAGGCCTAGAGGGGGGTCCTCAGTGTGTGTCCTGGGCTGGAGTCAGCCTGACCCTGAGCTGCTCTCAGCTCCTCCCCTGGGTACATAAGATGAAACAGGCAGGGAACCCCAGTTTGATAAGACTACTGGGTCTGCCCATGTCATTTCGTGTTCTCAATGATTTCTCATCTCAGTTGTTAAAATTGTGGTCATCCCAAGAAAAAAATGCTTATGACACGGCAATAAAGGATGTTTCGTCAGATTTTTTAACTGCCTCCCTCTGAAAGAATAAACTGAAACCAACTGTTCAAAGGTATGCTTTCTATTTACTTTCTGTAGCATTTATTTTTTGTATCTGGCATTGAAAGTATAGACAGTCCCACATATTCTAAAGGGAACAAAATAACCCACAAGTACTTAGCATCTACTCATTTCCAACCGTAAGTCCCCGGTTTCACTTCAGTTTAGCAGACTATTGCCCACTTCAGTAACTAAATGCACAAAATGATAATACCCTAATATGCACATCTCTTGAAAGTGGTGTCGTAATTCATAATTTGCCAGCTTGCAAGCAGTTTCCTTGGAGTACCCAGGGCTCCCCCGTGCTTCTTAATTCTGTACTCTCTGTGCAAAAACACAACAGTTGGAGTCAACTGCAGGCAAACTGCTTTCTTTTTAATTTTTGACATGTTACCCAGAATAGCGGTGTGGACTTGTTTACTTGGTTTTCACTGAGGAACGTTCTTTTTCTTCCAAGGAATACACGAGAAGAGTTCCCGTCTCGGAACGCGGAGCTCCGAGCAGGGACTTGTCTGGCTAAAAGTGCTCCAAGAGGAAATGCCTTCTTGGTTGCTGGGCTTCATGGGGAGGAAGTGGCCTGTGTCCTGGGACCGTAAGAGAACAATTGTTTCGGCAGGGGCGGCCCTCAGTCTGCCCTCTGGGAGCCTTGGTGCTGCTCGGTTTCAGAAGTGACTCTGGAAGAGCCCCTTGTCCCCAGGGTGATACTGGAGTGTGAGGCTGCAGCCAGAGGCCGTGTGGACGTAGTTTCTCACCCGTGACGGACCTGCCTCTGTGAGGCAAAGAGGCCTGGTACGTCTCTGATACTTAATTCTCAAAATTAGCCAAAACCTGCAAGCAACCAGAGACAAAAAGAGGAAACTGATTAAGCAAACTGTATAGTGGAAAGCTGCACAGGAGACTTGGATCAAGTGAGAAAGAAACAGGCTTCAACTTAATGTATGATCCTATTTATACAAAGTCCAAAATCAGGCAAAAGTAATTCTGTGGTGACAGAGGTCAGAAAACTGACTTGGGGGAGGTGGTATGGGATGAGGGGGCCTTGTCTCGTGCCTTAGGGCAGTTGACGGAGTACATGCAAATGTGAAAGCACACCTAAAATCTGCTCTTCACTATATATAAACTACCTCAATGAAAAAGAAAACCTATTGTGTGATTTCATTTATAAAGTTCATGAGCAGAAAAACTAGGCTCTGATGCAGAAGCCCAGTGGTTCCCTCTGGGCGTGGGTGGCTGGGAATAGAATAAGGGGGCTTCTGGCGGCAGTCATGTTAAGGGCTGTGGTCACAGAGGTGTATTCTCTTTGTGGTAGTCCAGCGGTCTGCTGAGGATTTGTGATTTTCTGTTTGGATGCTGTACTTCAATAAAAGATTATTAAAAAATAATTACAGTGTGGTCCTGTTGTTTTGGCTGAAAATGCATATGCAAAGAAAAAGACCTGGAATGGCATTGTATTCGTCTCCTGGGGCTGCTGTAACAAATGACCACATACTTACTGGTCTAAAACAACACAAATGTCTTGTCTTAGAGATCTGGAGGTCAGAAGTGTGAGTGGGTCTCACTGAGCTGGAGTCAAGGTGCAGGCAGGACCTTTGTGGTTCCACTGGGCACCTAGTTCATCCAGGTTATTCTCCCTATTTTAGGGACAGCACCCTAATTCCATCTGCTACCTTAATCCCATTTATCCTGTGACCTAACATTCACAGGCTCCAGGTTTCTGACGTGGGCACCTTTGCGACTGTCATTCTGCCAACCACAGGCATCCAAGAAAAAGTTAGGAATGCTGATTCTAAGTGGTGGTGTCTTACTCCCACCCCTTTATTTCTTGTCTGTATTTTCGGTTTTTCTAGGAATGCACATACCGCTTTTGAGATGAGAAAAATTGAATCTCTGTTGTCTATATGGATGGTGTCTCTTCAAGTTGTGGCCTGTCTACCGGCCAGGACAGTCCTGAGCAGCTAACAGCGTACCGGAGCCTCTCATGTTCAACAACGTGAACTGAAATGCACTTTAGTCGCGAGCAGACACCACCTGCTGTCACTGCGCTTGCAAACTCTTTTTCTCCTTCCAGGCACGCAGAGCAATCTTATCCAGAAACAACAGTTTTGCTGCTGAAAATTGTGATCAAACTTTGAAGTTTAAATTTTGAAATAAAAGGATGCTTTACTATTTTAAAACTTTTTTAATTTTTAAAAATACATGAAACAAACGAACTACATTTTGGGGGACGGAGTATTGGTAACTTGACAGCGATACCTGATACCTGGCTTCAGCCCTTCCCGACAAGGTCACCTGGTCACCTTCCATCTCATCCCATTGCCTTCCCTGCCAGCCCACCTCTCTTAGGTACTTCCTGGGTCATGGGCTGAATGCACCCAAAAATACATCTGCAGCAACAGACTAGATGAAAGAACTAGTTATGAATAATTGCCCACCCAGGCGAGTTTATCTGCTCACCCACCCCTGAAATACTGCCGGATTATCACTGCGTGAGGAACAAACTACTCAGAAGACTTAAAAAAGAGAATTCAACCACATAAATTTGGAGATCTACTTGGTTTTACTAATTTTATTTTATTAATTTATTAAATTTATTTTTATTCATGAATCGGGCAGCATCCCACCTGGCAAGTAGAGAGATGCTCCAAGGAATTGTGCAAAAATGGAATGGTTTTATAAGCAGGAGGGTGGGGCAAAAGTTACTAGCAATGGAAGAGATTGGGGATTGTAAGTAAGGTCACCCTCCCTTAGAATGAGGAGAGGGTCTTCTGCAGATGACCTCACTAGGAAGTTCCAGTTTAATTGCCTTAAAATTCCACTCATGGGAGAGGCAGAAACTGCAATTAGGTTGGGCAGCAGGCCCCAGTTTGGTGACCCAGCCCTTGGAGAATTGACCCCATGTCAGGCCTGCATTTTTCTTTTTATCAGAAGTGAAACTCCTTAAGACCTCCATCCCATGGAGTCGCAACAGGGAAAACGTGGGACATGAGTTCCTGTTTCCACCCTGTGCTGTACTTGGCTCTGATATAAACACAACCTCTTATTCTGCTCACAGGCTAAAATACTCCCCCGGCACATGCCTTCTGGTCCCAGGCAGAGATCCAGGCAGAGATCCTGGCTGCCAGATGCTGTCCAGATAAAACCAGCAAAGGTCGCCAAGGGTGGGAAAGAGAGGCAAGCAGCCGTGTGTCCTCTCCGCCTCAGTGAGATATTTCTGCCACACTATTTGGCCCACCTGGACATCTGTGATAAACGACATTACCTTAGAAATCCTAGGAGCCAACCCCTTCCCTGCCAGCAGCCTCATGATTCAAGAGTCAGGCACAAACTTCGAACTGGCCATCAGTCCCGGCTGTGTGGTCTGGAGGCTCACAGCGGGAGCACTGGGCTCTGTTTTCGACTGCAGAACTCTTTCAATTTTGCCAGTCGCCATTTATTTTCATCTTTTACTCCAGAAAGTTTTCTTACAGCACCTTCCTGGGTCCAACTGCCCATCAGTTACAAATAAACTGGCAAATGCAAAGGCGGTTATTTACACTGGGCAGGTCATGTGGGGCCTATCTGTGTCGCATGGTTTGTTTAAAGTGCCAGTCCTTTGGTTCGCCCTTGGCAGCTAAGTTTGGGCCTCGGGTGTTTTCATCAAAGACTTCTGGGCTCTTTTGGGAATCAGATCTCTGTTCCGGGCTGTGTGGTGGGGCGCTGGGGTTGGGGTTTGTAGAATGGGCCTCAAACCTTCACTCTGGGCAGCTACAGCCTACTCTGATGCTGCCCACCTCCAAGAAGAGCAACGCTTTCAGCTCTAATTACCCTGCGGTTTGCTGCAACCAAAGTAGCACATTCTCTTTGCTTTTCAAAACCCAGAAAACACATCACTGTTCCTAAAGGGAAAGGAACACAATCAGCCCTGAGAGGTCATGGGAGATGTTTTCCGAGTATCTGAGAGTACTTGGCAGAATAAAGCAAGGACATTTATATTCAAAATCCTCTTTATCAAGGCCTGTGTTGCAATCAGTTTATTTGTGTGGTAAAAAAAATCAGAGGAAGGAATGGAAAAGTCTTGACTCTTATGCATGTGTAAACCCTGTAAAAATGCTCATGGCTCTAAGATGCATTTCTCCGGCTCTCGCTGGCGGCTGGAGGAAATGGGTGTGCCCGAGGATTCCCCATACATGGCAGAATCTTACAAGCGCTGTCACAACTATATGAGGAAAACCCTGACCCAGAGTCCAGAGGAAGGAGGAGTTGTTTCTGAACTTTGCATCTGGGTGTGTTACACAAGGAACCCGATTCATGAAAGATGGGGCAGGATCTCAGAGGGCAGAGATTGGGAAAAGTACCTTCCAGGTAGAAGAGGCTCAAAGTTCTAGAGAGGGCAACGGGGAGAGAGGCTGGTGCCCCCAGGAGAGCCAGTCCTCAAGCAGCAGCCTGGTAGACCTGGTTTTTAGCCCTTGGGTCTGAGGCCAGAGTAAAACTAAAATCTTGTACTTTTTATCAGTGTTTTCATATTGTGCTGTACAAGTCTGGAAACTAGCACAGGCATGAATTTGTAAAGAAGTCAGAATGTTTTGTTTGGAATTTAAAGGGGCATTTTTATCAGTAATAGCATATTCAAATAATCTTGGAATCTAGAAACTTTTCCACAACCTCTGCCCATTCCTCCAGGGAGCTAGTTACCTGGCAGGATGCTCAGTAGCTGACTGGCGAAGTCACCCTTTTTCACGGACTGCTGTAGATGTGAGTGGGGCCCCGGCTGCATGATTCCAGGCCAACATCTCATCGTTACGAAATTAAATACTAGGCATCCTTCTCATTTGCCATGATTGCTTATCTCTGGGTCTGTTGAGTGCCACCTACCCAACAGTTTCCAGTCTTTCTCTAGTCTTTGCAATAAATGCTATTGAAGAATCTGTATGCAAGGACCCTTCTTGGGTGCCTACAGAAACCCAACCAACATCTTTGCAAAAGATTGGTGTTTTTAAAAGCCCTGATAAACTATTCTCACCAGCTGAATGAATGTTTTGACAGCCTAATGGTGATCGATGTGTTCTCTAGCTTTTAAACAGAGCTGATGAATTACAGAGTAACTTCACAGATCAAGCCCCAGATGAGATTTTCCCTGTGGAGTTGGGCTGTCACCAACGAACTGCTCGAGAAAACCCAGGGCCCTGTTGGCCCCATGGCTTGGCCATTTCCTGCAGGAGGAGACATACGGTAGCGTTGAGGGATGGACCATCCTCATTACAATGGAGTCGGAGGGAAGGGGTTCAGTAAGGGGTGTCATTTCTTTCAGCCTCTCCCCATTCTCATCTTTCTACACAATAACCTGCACAGGATGGCAGAATGATCTGGCTCCTTACAACAGGCTGTGCTAGGACCCAGTGTGTTGAGAAGACCACAAAAACAGGACCACCTGTACAAGGCTGGCACTGAGTTCTCTTGAAACTATGTCCACAACCCTAAGGCGTGGAGTCCAGCAGCATGGAGTCCACTCCATCTTGGTCAGCTTCTGGGACAACTGGATGGCAGGAATAATTTTATTTTCCCACCCGAGTAGGCCAACAGGTCCACCTGAGAGTGAAAGGGGGCATTATTAATAATTATCTTGAGTTAACAGACATAAACCAAGACTGTCTCAGGACAATCAGGATGTCTGTCACCCTAATTCTAAGGGATGGATAAGGGAAATAATGTGAATGAGCCTATTATTCTCCACCCATGTAGGATTGTCCTTTAAGCCCCACATACTCCAAGTGACAATGGACACTTTTCTGTTATGTAATACAATCCTGGGTACCACCAAGTCCAAAGTAACAAAGGACAGAGCATTTCCAGCTGAAGGTCCAGGAATGCCATTTAACCTAAGGAGAGCCCTGACCTCGGCCATAGCAGATCATGCTTTCCCAAGTCAAGGTTATAATTATGCAACGCAGGAGCCTCCTTCCAGTAATTGTTCTAATGTGTGTGCAGGCACATGCAGGCGGTGCCCTAGAAGCTGCCATCTATATTTAGCTGCTATTAGCATCGCCTCTGTACAGCATTCCTATCTTATTATGCAAGGAGCACAGGCTTTGACTGGCACAGTAATCCCAGGCAGAGCTTAGAGTGGGAAAGAAATAACTAGTACCTTCTGGTAACCATCCCAACATCTTCAACAAGATGAAGGCAGCTCTGGCTTGGCTGTCTTCCTAAACGGCCCTAAGAGCTAGATTAGCATCCAGGAAAATGAGCCTTTGCATGCAGCAATGGGGGAAGGAAAATACAATCTAGACCACTTGGCCACCTTTCCTTAGGGCTTATGGGTGAATTCCCAGGTTTTTGTCCTACCCTAGAACAAATACCTGCTTCTTCCAGAAGTTGATGAGTCTCAAATCACTGCATTAGCTGG